AGGGCCCGCGCGCCGCTCCCGGGGGCAGGAACCGGGCTCGGCAGGGAGGAAAGGGAATAGCGCTGTCCCGGAATCTGGTGGGACCACACAACCGTAGTTAAGGAGTCGGAGTGGACTTTATACTATTTCCAATCTAGTTGCAACTCCCTGCCACTAGCCAGGGCACCTTCCACTAGACCAGGTCCCTCAGAGACCCATCCAAGCTGGCTTTGAACATCTCCAGGGCTGGGCTAGGCAGAGCTGGGCTAGGCAGAGCTGCTCCGGGCTCACCACCCTGGCAGTACTTTGTTCCTAATGTCTAATCTAATTTTCCCCTCTTTCAGTTTGTACCCATTACTCCTTGTCCTATTGCTACTCCAGTTCCTGACAGAGTCCCTCTCCAGCTTCTGTATAGCTCCCTTTCAGATACTGGAAGGTTGCCATGAGATCTTCACACAAACTTCTCCAGGCCTGAAGAGCCCCAGCTTTCTCAGCCTGTTGTCATAGGGTAGGTGCTCCAGTCCTCTTATCACTGCCATGGTCTGCCTCTGGACTTGTTCAAACAGTTCCCTGTCCTTCTCACGATGTGGGATGAGGGGGAATGGGTGATTGGCAGTTCAGGATGGGGGGCAAGGGAGTGGAGATGTTGGCTGTTATAAAAGGGTCACCCCAAAGTAGCTGTGCTAGCTTTGAGTCTTTAAACAATCCCATTATATTATATCCATCCTCCTTCACTGGGTAATAACTTTCTGCTAAACTCTGCCTATTCTCCTTGTCGTTGCTTTTCATAAATGACTGCAGAGTTGAGGCTCCAGCGGGAGTAAGGGAACACAACAATCCCAGGAGAGCCAGCCCTGGCCCTGCTGTCACAGCTGTGGCACTCCTCCCGAGAGGCAGCTGAAATGCTCACTGAGCCCAGGGCCTGAAGGTCAAGGTCTCACTTGCTCTCACCCAGTGCCAGGGGAAGCTAACAAACTCCACAGTGGGTGGCTGTTGCCTATCAAGGTCCTTGTCTTGGCCTGCCCTCTACCATCTCACCCTTGAAAGCTTTCTTCAAGAAGCAGCAGTGGGGTTTTTTTTTGTGTAGTTTTCATCAAGAAATAAAAGCATGGAGATACCATTGTGAACCACAAGCACCTTAATTGCTCATGGACCAGACTCCTTACAAAGGTTTGGCTTTGATAAGTATCTACTGTTATTATATCAACCAATATTCCTTTTTTAATACATAAAAATAAATATAAAAATGCAAATTTATCCTCAAAATAAATAAACAGTGTATCTTAGTCAAAGCTAAGTCTGTCATATGTTAAACATATTGCCAAAAGCACAGTGGTGTAATGCAAAATGGATGCTATGCCTGGTTGTAGGCAGCTCTTTGAAATCACCTAGGTGAAACCAAAGATTCTACAAAATACAGAAAATGTGTATCTTGGGACATAGAATAGAGTTTGTGTTCTTAATTTGCTAATGAACTCAGATAACTAGCCACTATAGCAGGTTGAGAGGAGCAGGATATAGGTCATGTTATTAAACAACTTCAATACATAAATAAGTAAAATCAATGCTGCCCTTGTGCTCAAGGGGAAAAAAGCCAGTTTTTAAGTGAAGAATCAGAGTGAAATGCTTTAGAAATTCCCCCCAGGGCTTTCTATGTACATTGTAGCAGAGCTAAAAAAATAAAAAACAACCCAGAAAACAGAAAATTCAAAGCCTAGCTTGCATTTCCAGCCCCCTTTGCAGGTCATTTTGAAAGGTTGTTTAAACAGCTTTCCCTCCCCTTAGCCCCCAGAGGGCCTAAGACACTTCAGTCAGAGCTTTCCATACTGCACAGCTCCAAAGAAAGCTGCTGCAGTAGACCACTGCAAAGCACTGTAGGCACAAAACTAAAGAAACTAGTAACTAAACACGACTAAATAGTAATCTCTGCTATTTCAAACACTGACCCCCACGCCCAAAACATTAAATACTGCACGATTTTCCTCTTTTAATAAAACACTTTCACTATCCAAAATGCCTGACATGGACCAGACCTTCCAGGCTCAATTAAACAACCTGTTAATGACACGAATATTTCTCCGTATTTCATCTGTGCTCCCCTTGTTCCAAGGGCTGTATGCTCAGCTAGGACTGGCGACACTGAGACTTCCACAGTTGGCAGAAGACACTGATCACCAGCAAGGTTTTTTGCTGCTGTGCTTTGTAAACCTTGTCATCGGGTCTGGCTGCGCTGAAAGCAGCATTTCCCAGAGACACCCCAATGCTACAGATTTCCCTGAGCAAGGGCTTTGCAAAGGAGGGATGAAAAAGTGTTCTACAACACAATCACAGTCCTCAAGAGTATGAATTTCTACAAGGGAAAGAGGAAAAAGGAATCAAAAAAACTCAGTGCCTTTCAGGGAGTCTTTGTAGACTACAATAAAACTAGATGAAAAAGGTGAGATTTTCCCCCTCCCCAGTCTCCTGCCAATCATTTCACAAATTAACAGGTGTGAAGGTAGAATTCAGCTCCCAACAGCACGATGATGATTATTCCTTCATTTCATTCCAACAGCTGCACTTGGAAAATATTTAACAGAAGCCATTACCATTCACTATGTTGAGAGGGTAACAATCAACACTGTATTATGATTCCCGGATAAAGGACCTTTTACATCTTGGCCTTTAATGAATGCTGAAATATCTCCATGTTCTGGTTTTTCGTTTGTCCTGTGCTCGCTGTTTCCAAGTCACACAAACACCACCTCGATTGACAAAGCCCCAGCCAGGGCCATTTGTCAGTGTGCACAGGAACACACAGTGTTTTCATCAGTGCATCCTTTTACCATTCTGGCAAATCTGCAGTTTGCACTTGGGCGATGTGGAAATGACACAACTCTTCCGACAGACAGGCAGGGTGACTGAAAACATCCGCGCTCGATGCCAACAACCTGCCTTACGTGCTGCTGACTCACCTGCTTGGCTCAGCTGGAGGGAGGTCTCTAAACTGGCTGCACTGCTGCCATTCGCTCTTGCCAGGGTCATGTTAGGCAACTCTCCTAATGGTGTGTGCTGAAATGCTGCAGAGAGCACTGCCACGCTCCCAATGCTCCTCAGTTGCTGCAGATGATATTAAGACATGGGTTACACCACCTATTGACCAATACATTCAGAGTCCTGTCAGCACAGAGCAGGTAGTGCTGTGTCCAGGGGACAGCTATGCTGTCATTTATTCATCTCCCCTAGGCAGGCCCTGGCAGTAGGAAGAAAATCACAGGCAGAAGAGAGTGCTCCTTAGTCACTGAAGCACCTTCTTGTAAAGTCTGAGTCCTGCTGCATTAATCACATGAAATTAGACTTTTTAATGAGAGGGTGGGGGAAGCAGTAGTTTCCCTTTTGAGTTGTTGGAAAGTCATTCCTTCCTCTCACCTTGTCCCTGTGTATCTAATTTCTGTGGAAGTGATCTGCAATGCCCACAACAGGCCCACATGCTACCCTCACACCAAAACAAATGAAAATCATCACAGAAACTCATCTTGGTTGGGACCTACATCTGCATTTCTTCTCACAGGTGCCATTTAATCTCTAAAAAGACCATTTTTGGAGAAGCAGCCTGGCATTAATTTCAAAGTGAAAGCACATACAAGCTCTTGTTCAGATGCATGTACTCCACAACAGTGGAAACTATTTTTATAGGCATTAACAGGAGTGTGAGCATAATGGACTAAGTTAGGGGCCTCAACACATACATAAAAGCAATTCAGGCAAAACACTAAGTGGGATATAAATTGGCTGCAATAACACTTCAGCAGACAATTATGTCATTATGTCCCCAGAATTCAGAGTGAGGTCTGTAAGTCTCCCAGAAAACAAGCTGAAGCAGAGACCTCAATAGTTACAAACACTGCAGGCCTCATTTAAGAACAGGAGTACAATTATTTATGGCATTGACAGTTTCATGTGTCCAGAGATCTTTTTCATATAGAAAGTATTTGTTTTGGGGTTTCCCCTGGCTTTCCTCTGACTAGAAACTGAAGGGGGCCAGGGGCAGAATGTCATTGTTTTATGGCTAAAGTATCAGGATGGGCAACTTGTACTCTGATTTTTTTTCTCAGACATTTTTTTTCCTGCATGAGCTCAGGCAAGTCACAAAGAATTTACACTGACAGCCAATCAGTAATCCTAGGCTGGCTTCTTCACTTAACTGCACGGACTATCTTAATGTCTGCGAGCCATTGTACAACAGAGCCTGCAGCCATGCTAAATAAAGATAAAATGGTTAAATATTTATAAATTGCTTCTTTTGGTAGTTTAACATTTAGATCAGAAGCCATCCCTCAACATGCCTCCCCTGAAAAAAGCCCAGGATGTCATGGGACCTAATGTCTTGACAACTCGTTCCTTTCAAGTGCTTTTGACAGAAATGGGACTACCTATTCATGCAGCTCAGCTCTGTGCTCATACTCCCAAAGCAGTGCCGTCAGTGATTGTCACCACGCTGCCCTTCCCAGCCTGGCCCCGGGGAGAGGCTGTCCGTCCGCTGAGTCCGGCTGCACCAGCACCCCCTTCCAGGAGAGCGGATCTGCTCCCCGCTCGGACAAGCTGGCAGCAGAAGCAGCACCTGGACTGACATCAGATTTCACTGCAGGATGGTCATAGGGCTCTCCTACAAAGAGCACCTACTGCCTCTTCAGAAAGTCCTGTATCTTTTCCTGCTTCATTTGCGAGGTTTGCATGAGATGTACTTGCTTGTGCTGCAATTATAACTGAGCACTACATACACAGCATAAAGCACTCCTTGTGCTGCTTGGGTTGGAGCAACAGGGAACTTTCAGCCACTTCTAGTACAGGTGACAGAGGAAGCATCAAAAGCAGCTGCCTTCAACTCCTGGTCCCAAACTAAACTGTAAACTGCTTTTTTTAGAGAGGAAAAAAAATCATCTATCTCATAAATAAGTCGAACAAGTTCTCATGTTCTCTTTCAGTGACTGACAAGATCATACTTAAATGACTGACCAAAAGGGTTTTATGGAAACGAAACAATGATTAGCCATTGGTTAAGCTACTTAAGAGGCAGAAGACAGGGTACTCTCCTTACTTCCTCTCAAAATCCATTATCACCAGCCTCAATCAATTTTTCCTGCTGAGCTGTCCTCAAGCCATATAACTTACCCAGTCCTTCTACATCTCCTTCCCTCCCTGACAGCAGTTTTGTTTTTCATCACTTTTCAACCTCCTCTCCTTCAGGGGTCCTGAAAAGACCCACACCATTAGCAACCATTTCAACTCCTTTTATAAAAGGCCCTGGGACACAACAACATTTTAGGAAATAGATCTGCTGGCTCCACACAGGTTACTAAAGATTGAAGCCACAACTGCCAGAATGAGCTTGAACTGTCCCCTTCTTGGGAATTAGCCATCACTTTCCGTAACGCCTCAGGGAAATGGGTCATTTTTGAAGAGAATAATCTGATGTTGCTCTATGGTTAAGTGCTCCCATATTGCTCAATGACCAACTAACAAACATCATGAAACACTGAAATTATCAATTTGTATTGCTGCTTTGAGACAGGGAGTTCAAGACCACCGACAGTGTAGCAAGAGACCTCACTCCAGGTCTTGATGGACGAAGCTTGAGCCCAAACTCAAATTACAGCTTTGTTAGGACATGAGTCCACAACAACCAACTTACATCATGTTGAAGGTAGGTATTTAAAAGAGATTTATTTGGGCTAATACTAAATTCAAACAGCCACAAGCTCATTTTCCATGTTTACCACACCAACTGTTGACAGATAAAGTCTCAGTGGAAAGTCCAAATTTTAATTTCACCATAACTTCCTGAAACATGACTACAGATTTCAATATTTGGCATTAGATCCTCGAGAGAGATACCATGTTTAGAACATTCTACCAAATACATTTAAATTATGACTCAAAACCAAAACAATTTGGAAGTTTTGAAACATAAAACTGTTAGTATGAAATTAGCTTTTATTTTTTTTTAACTCAAAATAAATGCACATTTATTGTTTAATCAAGTGAAAACTGAAAAAGAGTGTCTTAAACAAGGGGGAACCCTAACAGAGCAAGTATCACAAACATGTTCAAGTTCCTTCTGCTCTTGCTCAGCTCTGTTTGGCTAAGAACAACAGATTAATTTCCTTTTTTCTTTCTTGTCAGTTTGGTCAATTAAAAGAAACACTTAAAGCACCAGAATTAGAAGTGGTATAAAACAAAACCAAGAACTCGTTCTCATCAGGATTCAGGTCCATGTATTGCCACACTTTTTATATAAAACTTTCACTAAGTGTTGTACTAAATAGGATTTAGTAATTTCTTCTGCAGTTTAGCTCTTGATATCTTGGTAAGAGAAGTCAATGCATAAGCATGTCAGAAGTCAACGCTATAGTGTAACTACAGTATAACTCTAACAGGGCTTCTAAATACTGTTCACCAGAGTGATGTCTTATAGTTGAATTTCAGTTTCAACAGGTACTTCAGATTTACCTGAGCAACATCATACACAATATATCTGGGAAGAATGTTAAGGAATAATTACAGAAGTTGATATTACTGACACAGAAAAACCTCAAAACACAGTGAACTTCACCTTTGAACTTAAGTTACCATACAGATGCCTGTGTGATTAACCGGTTCTAAGAGATCAAACCACAAAGCTTTAAATCTGACTTTTCCATGAATCTGAAAATGTTTTATACAATAGTTAGGAACAAGCAATTGAATAATGTAGAGAATAGTGCAGCAGGAATCCTGAGTGACAGGCAGGTGAACTTAGATATGGGGCTGTAGCTCCTGAAAATTATTTTTTGTCAGAGTAACACACATCTCTCTTGTTATCTAAGCAGAGGAGTCAGGTGGCTTAAATAAGAGCTACAGTTTTAGACCCAGAATTTACAATTATAATAGCAGTTCTATTGCTACCTTCCTGCACAAGGTCATTAATACCCTCTTAATTTCCCACTAAAAATCCAAACTGGAATAACAGAGAAGAGCTCTACAATGATTGCCAGTGTTTGGACATTCTTTTTTTTCCAGTCCCAGCTCATCTATTTGTTTCACAGTGCTTTAGGCCTCAAACTTACCTCTAATCCCAAAGTGTAAAACAAAATAAATACACATCATGTTACCTCAGCTAGCTAATATCAACTGTATTATAGCTCATCATCTGATAGATGGTGTATTTAAGAAAACTTAAGATAAAACCAGTATTGCCATGAGTTGTGTTGCCCAGATCCTTGCAGGAGGAAAACAGCTCACCAAGACCAAAGGCAGTTTCTACAAACCCAAAGATTGCATTACTGGGTTACCTGCTTCACTGGCAGTGAAGAGAGTGAGCTGGACCTTAGACATCACTTACTTGTATTCTTATGACCTCTTGTGGATTTAAAGCATTAATTGATTTGGAGGCACTTCTGCCTGGAAAGAGACTTAATGGCTACATCTCTGATGGGCATTTACCTCAACACTTGCAGAGGTCTGAGGAACACAAAAGATGTGCTGAGAGAGGACAAGAGCACAGAGCTTGCTCCCCCACCTCCTCCTGGCCAAGCTGGTCTACACCACAGCACCATGAGGAAGAAACCAGACTGGAGTGATGAGAAACCACAGGCTGCATTCCCCTCCCCTCGTCCTGGCACATTTCTGGGCAAGACACTACAGGGCAGTTTTGCCTGACCACTCCAATAACTTTTGGAATGGTTCCTATTGGGGAACAGCTATTGGTACGTGTATTGTTTCCTTTTTTTTCAGAATGACAATGTAAGTGCAACAACTGTAAAATCATCCCCCTTGCAGAAGAGATTGTCTGTAAATACTCCCCAAAGCAGATCTAAACCAAACAAAACACAGGCAAAACTCCTAACTGGCCTTAGTGAGGTCTTGCAAATGCAACACTCAAACACCGTGTGCAGCCAACGTAACAGCAAAGGATACTCATTATACAGAAGACAGGTATCATTAATTCCTGTGGAGATCCCATTCCCTAAGGGAACCTCTACACCACCAAGGGTGGTAGTGGCTGTGGGATCAGGCGCAGTTTTGCCCAAGCCTAGAAAGGGAAAACAACATTAGTTACAAATCTAGGAGGCAAACAAAGACTTTGCACAAAAAGAAAATGATCCAGCCAGCCAAATACTAGTTCACATAAACTTTCAAACTGAGTGTAGAAGAATCTTCAACAGAACACAAAGAATACTGTCTGTTTATTCAATTCAGCATCACCATATTTACAGCAGTTGTATTCTGCTACATTAAAAATGAGAATTTTAGACTATCAACTGTTAATTGTCTAATCTGTATGATCAAAGCTAAACCAGAAGAGATCTGTAGCATTTATATCCTAGCTCCATTAATGAAAACATGCACATTGCAGCATTTTCAGACAAGTACAACAAACCAATTCTTATTCTCGTTAAAATTTTCAATATAAATCTGATTTGACATCCATAAGAACATGAGTAGTATGTACAGAAAAAGGTGCAAAATCACTTTTTATTCTGTTTTAGGCAACCTATTTTTTAAGCCTCTCAGAATGTATAGTTTAGGATAAATCACTCATTACTGAAGATACTGTTCTTCACTCTCACATCTTGGTACAGAAGACAGTCATGATTACCATTTCTTTTGAATTAGACAGCTAAGTCTTTTCTCTCATCTTCTTTTCCAATATATGACACTTTTTGCATATAGAAGTGTAGTAAGGGCAGTTGTTCTATCTGAACTTTTATTCTTATAATTTCCTTTCTGTCCAAGCTTCTAAGCCACTTTGAAAGCTAAACAATTACCCTTCTGATCTATTCATGTCTCTTCTAAAACACACAGTATTGTTATGATGAAAGTGAGTAAGAATTTGGAGGATGTACTTTGTAGTTTTTCTCCAGTATAACATCAAACAGAAGTTTCCTCCTGAACTTCAGCACTTTCAATCTTAACATTCTGAGTGTATTAGCTTGCATCCTAAAACACCACATACACATCCTGATGCAATTGAAGGGCAACATTATGCAACTTCTTAAAGGAAGTACAGCTAAGAAGTGACAATAGCTCTCTTTGCTAGGCAGGGCACCACAACCAAGTCTGCCATCAATTACAGATTACCAATGACAACTACTAATGCTTACCTTTGACACTGTGTTTTCCTTTGGGCAATTTTGTGATGTGGGAAGCATTCTTTAGTTCATACCTAGACAGCACAAAGAACAAACAACAGCACTTTACATTAGTCTTAAACTATCTCAGTGAAAAAAAAAATCACAAAATTTTCAGGCTTTATTTATGATGAGTTAATGTAAAATTAATCTAGATTCTAGTCTTCAGGAACTCAACAGCCCTTCTTTGTCTTGATTACTAATTTTAATGATGTTAGCATTTTGTACAAGATTCAGCTAGACCTACAACAATAGCTCTTATTTTAAGAAAAAACAGACCTTGTTTCTGAAGAAAAAACACTTTTTGAAAATGTTTTGAAATGTTTTGAAATGAAAAATGCTTTTTCTTCACACTGCAGAGAAGGCTTGCAATCTTAGCATCACCTTCTATGAGGATGTATTAAGCACATTTGGCAAATACTCTTCATAAGTTACGTACATATTTCCAAGGGCAACTTCTCCCAGTAGTACTAAACCTATGGGATCAGCTTGAGATGTGTGACAGTAGTTTGCACTCTTGGATACCATGTCTGCAAAATAGATGCCCTTTCCGAACATGTAGCCGGTCTGCAAGAAGGAAATAAACAAATAAATACATTTGGGGCAATAAAGTAACACAAAGGCAGCACTGAATCCATCTGGCTGGGCTCCCAGGAGAGCAGAGCTGCAACTGAAGCTCTTGTGGACACCAATGAGCAACCCACTCGGGAGACACGATGTTGTTTAAATGGTGGCAGATAACACAGGGCCCTCCCCACACAGAAATTCCCTTATTTAGGTTGTCCCTGACTGTGGCCATCTCTGGGCACAGGGATGTAGGCAGCCAGAGAAGCTATTTCACCCACCACAGGAGCTTCAGGCGGAGCTATCCGCAGACCCTGTGAGAGGATCCCGGCGAAGTTGGTGGTGCGGGAGCCGTGCCACAGCAGCTGGCGGTTGTGGAGCTGCTTGAAGGGCTTGTAACGCTGGCTCTCCCCCTCACGCTCAATCCTGAAGATCTTCAGTTCAAAAAGGATAAGGAGGAAAAGGGTAACCAAGCAAATAAACCATTAGCTTCGTGCAACTCATCAGAGGGGAGAAAAAAAAAGTCATCCAATCTGCAATGTACGTTGATCTGCTATGGAAATTGATTGGGATGGGTTTTAGTGTTTGTAATTGGCTGTATCATGCTAGCAAAAAAGAGGTAGCAGCAATCACATAGTACTTGTTATTGATTACTTCTCCATCTCTTCTGCATTTTCATGAGGCTCTATTTTTCTGAAAAAATCATTCAATGAACTAAAGCTTAATCTCAGATAATTACTCTTCCACCTTCCCTTTGAGGCAAATTAAATTAAAATAAAAACACCAAAGCAAAAATACCTTATTAGAGTAATCTCTGCCTAGACTTTTGCTATTCTAATTAAAAGAAAATGTTATATCAAATCATCCCTTCAACAGAGATAACTGGGTAAGCTACTCAAAATATAAGGCAATTGCAAACAAGCAAGTCAACTTAGAAGAGTGTCTCCCTGAAACCTAAAGTCTTCTGATAATGTTTTCATAGTTTTAGTTACTTTCCCATGAAAACCTAAGCTGTTTATCACATTCCTTCTAGGAAACGTCTTTTGATGGATGTTTCACATGACCAGTGTGCTTGGGAAGGTGGTAACTTAATTATCCAATCCCTGGTCATTGTCAAGAATCTATAAATACTAGAATCAGAGAATAAAGCGCTTCTTTTCCTGTTCTAACACTGAGAAGCGTTTGTGTGAATCATTTCATGTCCTTTAGTGACAGGAGAATCCATCTTCCCAAAGATAAACCTCAGTATTGCCCAGCTTACATCCACGACTTTGAGGTCATATGCGTTGTGCGTAGCAGCGTGAGTGTTCTTCACATATTGTTTGATAATCTTAGCTTCTTCTGAATCTTTGTCAACAACCTGCAAAGAGGCAAATGAGAAATTTCCTCAGCACACAAACCAGCAGCCATCTTATAACGTGACAACATCCGCCCTATGCCTGCAACTTCCCCCTCTAAACCTCCTCAACCATTTAAGTGGAAATACATTCCTAGCTAGAGAAGATGCACAGATACACAGACAGCCACAGAGCGTCTGAGACAATGCATGGAAGCGAGATGACTTTCAATGCCACTACTCAAAGAAGGGTCAGCCAAGGACTGAGTCCAGTCAAGTTTTCAACACTTCCAAGATCAGAGCCTCCATGACCTCTCCGGGCAACCTCTTCCAATGTTTGACCACTGCCAGAGTAAACAAATTAAAGAAACCCAAACAAACATCAAGAACAGAAGTCTTTTTTCTTTTGTTTAAACACAAATTCCTGTATTTCAATTTGTGCCCATTGCCTCTTGTCACTGGAAACCACTGAGAAAAGTCTGCTTCTGTCTTCTTTCCTTCCTTCTCCCATCAGGTATTCCTAGATATTGATACAATATCCCTGAGCTTTCCTTTCTCCAGGTCAAAACAGCTCAGTCCTTTCTGCATCTCCTTGAAGACATGCTCCAGTTCCTTAACCCATCTCAGTGTCATGTATCTACCCAGTTACAGTTTGGGTGATTTGTTCTACTCCAAACTAACAGGACATCAGCTTGTATCCACAGCCACTCATTGCCTTTTATTTCCTTTACCTTAATATCTGTTTTAAGTTTTTCATAGTTGATGTCAATTGGGTCTTTATCTCCATCTTCATTTCCACCTCTGAGAAGGCTGTAAGCAACCTCAATATCAAGCAAGTTGTCCAGCATCTGCACTTTAGCCTGAAGAATTGAAACAGGTAATGTTATGTTACTTAGGCCTTTGACATGTTCAGAATAAGTCTGGGATACCCGAAATTTAAAAAGTGTATGATGATCACTGGCCACTGGTACCATCTAATAACACAACAACACTGCCTTTAAATATAAATATATATATATACACACACACCCAAATGTATTAAAGTATACACATATATACACTTAACTTATGCATATAATTATTTACACAGACACGTGTACATAAACAAAAAGGTATTCTGAAGAAAAACAAGCTTAACCACATGAAAGCATGAGGCTAAACTTGTTTTTTTTTTTCAGATTATCTTTCTGCTTGTAAGGTTTTAACACTTACTTTAACTTTTTATGAGGTTAAGGAAGTGTTAAACCTCACACAGTCTCTATGTTAGATGTCTGACATCAAGACCTGTTGTTTGCAAACAACATCTTCCAACATTTACAAAAACAGTTTCTAGTCAATACCTGAATGTATTCCAAGTTATTTAGGAGAGGTGGTTTCTTCATCCCAAAGTCATGAGGAATCAGTGTATAGAAGCGGTTGGAGAGGTCCAAAATCTGGGATTCTGAACCACTGTCAGATACTGCCTAGACAAGACAACAAGCACCAAAGAAAATTACTGAGTAAGAAAGTTTCCACTGGAATAAAAACACACAAGATACTTAAAGACTAACACAGGAGCAGCAATGCAAATAGTGCTTATGCTGGAACTCTCATAGGACTAAAAAGAACAATTCTATTTTATTGTCTTGGGAGTAGCAAGTCACAGTATTTGTATATCACAAAAATACATAGAATTGTGTATGAGAAAAATTCAATGGGGATTATGTTTCTGGAGGGCAAAAGAAAGTCTTCAGGATACATAAGTGGTGCATATCCTTGTCAAGGTTCTGAACTGAAGAACTTCCTGTATCTATGCTTTGCTAGGGAGCCTGTGACAAAAAAAAATGGGTTATGCTGGTACATTTCTGCAATCTGTAAAGGCAATACTATGCAGTGATTCT